TAGGATAAGAGTCTTTAAACATTCATAAAACATCCAAAACTAAAAGTAAATGCAAATTAAACATCATCCTTACATGCCAACAAATATGAGAGAGTGAGAAAGGAGTGATAGAGACAATAAGCCTGCGTTTGGTTGGGGGATTTGGGAAGGGATTTGGAAAAAGAAAGAGAAAAGGTGTGTGAAACTAGGTGAAATGTAAATATATTTTATTCACATTTCACTTACCTGTTCCCTTTTCTTTTCCAAATCCCCAACCAAACATAGCATAAGGATACATCAATTTGACAAATTCTATTACATTAACTCTCACGATATTCATCTTATCAAAGAACTAAAAGTATTAGAAGTAATATGTGATTTCGAGTATCCGATACTCCAAAATTAATGAAAAATTAATTAAGAAGTATTTGATACTTTTAAGAAGTATTTGATACGTATCTGCGAGTATCCAAGGAGTACCGGTATCCGATAAGTATCCGATATGGATACGTCTCCCTTTTTGAAGTATCCGTGCTTCATAAATAAGAAACCCTCAGCCACAAACAAAGTCCATCTGATTAAGAAGTTGTTCAACTTGAAGATGTCCAAAGGAGGAGTCACGATTGAGCATATTAATGATTCCAACTTACTAATCAGTCAGTTGGAATTGGTTAGTATCTCGTTTGATGAAGAAATCAAGGCATTGGCACTGTTATCAAGCCTTCTTGAGATTTGGAATTCGTTGGTAGTTATAGTAAGCAATTCCACCGATTCGGGAAAGTTGAGCATGGATCATGTAGCAGGTTTGGTTCTGAGTGAAGACACCCAAAGAAAAGATAACGGTAAAAGCTCTAGTTCGGTGTTGGCAATTGACGACAGAGGTAGGAAGCCCAACAGGGGTAGCAACAAGAAGAGAAGCACAAGTAAATCGACGAATTATCGATCTCCGTCTCGACCAAAGTTTACAGGCAAGTGCTGGGATTGCGGTAAGATTGGTCACGCAAAGCGGAATTGTAAAGTTAAGAAGCAAAACGACAATAATCAAGGTGAGAAGGAGTTTGTGAATGTTTCTAATGAAGAGGTTCTGAAGCACTCGCGTTGTCTTTAGAAACTCATGGAGAATTGTGGGTGATTGATTCTGGTGCATTGTTTCACGCTACCTCGCACAAGGAGTTGCTCCACAATTATGTCTTAGGTAATTTCAAAATGGTGTACCTTGGAAACGATGAAGCTTGCAACATAATTGGCAAGGGTGAAGTACAGATAAACCAACCCAATGGAACAACTTCGAAAATCAATGATGTCATACATGTGCCGTGTTTGAAGAATCTAATTTCTGTCGGTCAACTCATTGATTCTGGTATTGTGACAATCTTAGCCAATGATGCGTGGAAGATAACCAAGGGAGCCATGGTAGTGGCTCATCGAAAAGGGAAGGTACTCTTTACGTGACATCAGGTACCTATAGTGCAATTACAGTAACATCATCAGAAGTCAAAACAGGCATATGACATTGCAGACTTGGACATATAAGTGAGAAAGGGATGAAGGTTTTCATGTCAAAGGGGAGACTACTAGGTTTCAAGTCTTTGAACTTGAATTTTTGTGAAGACTGCGTCTTGGGAAAATAGAAAAGGGTTAGTTTCACTAAGCTTCTGAGAGCTCGAAAGTCAAAATGGTTGGAGTTAGTTCATACAGACGTGTGGGAACCATCTTCAGTAAGATCGCTTGGAGGCTCTAGTTATTTTGTCACTTTTTATTGATGATACTATGTGTAAATTGTGGGTATATTTTTTAAGAATAAAACCGATGTGTTTGACGTCTTCAAAAAGTGAAAACCTTTAGTTGAGAATGGACAGGTTCTAGTTTGAAGTGTGTCAAGTCCGACAATAGTGGGGAGTACATAGATGGCGCTCTAGAAAAATATTGTGCAGAGAACGAAATTCAAGATGTGATGACAATGGCGAGCAAAACGGTGTGGCTACGCGCATGAACCGAACAATCGTGGAATGTGCTAGGAGCATGAGGATTAATGTTGGGTTGCCAAAACAGTTTTGGGCAATAAGTATAGCTGCGTATCTGATTAACAGAGGTCCTTCAGTTCCCCTGAATTATGGAATCCCAAAAGGAGCGTGGACTGGTAAAGAGGTAAATTTGTCACATTTAAAAATATTTGGTTGTATCTCTTATGTTCACATTGATTATGATAAAAGAAGTAAGTTAGATCCCAAATCTCGGAAATGCATCTTTATTGGGTATGGCTCTGATTATTATGGGTACTGGTTTTGGGATATGGAAAATCGAAAAATAATTAGAAGCATGGATGTGGTGTTTAATGAGTCTGTCATGTACAAGGATAGGCTTGATGACAAGACTAAAGAACCTGAAACGGTTGAACTTGAGGAGAATTCTGATAGTGATGTGTTGAAACCTCAAGACTCTAATGTACAGTTGACACCGCCCATTGAGATGCAAACTCCTAAACCTCTTAGGAGGTCAACAAGAGAAAAGAAACCTGTTGATCATTATTCTCCTTCCTTACATTATCTATTGTTAACTGATAATGGTGAACCAGAATGTTATGAGGAAGCTTTACAGGTTGAGACGAGGGAAAAGTGCGAGCTCACCATGGACGATGAGATGGAGTCTCTCGTGGTGAATCATACTTAGGAACTAATACAATTGCCCAAAGGTAAATCTGCATTGCACAATAAATGGGTTTACCGATGGAAAGATGAACCCGATGGCACCAAGTGATAGAAGGCCAAAATGGTGGTGAAAGGTTTCCAACAAAAGGTAGGTATCGACTATGCTGAGATTTTCTCTCATGTGATAAAGATTTCTACAATTCGTACTGTACTTAGCATTGTGGCGGTTGAAGATTTGCATCTAGAGCAGTTAGATGTTAAAACAGCAGTTAGATGTTAAAACTGCATTCTTTCATGGTGATTTGGATATCTACATGCATCAACCCCAGGACTATGAGGCGGCTAGAAAGAAAATATGGTATCTAAATTGAAGAGTTTGTATCGGCTGAAACAAGCGCCTTGGCAATGGTACATAAAATTTGATAACTTCATGGCAAGTGTAGGTTTCCATCGGTGCCATGGTGATCATTGTTGTTATTATAAAAAGCTTGACACTTTGTATTTAATACTTCTCTTGTACGTAGATGATATGCTTGTTGCAGGTTCAAGCATGGATGAGATTTTGAATCTCAAACAGGAGTTGTCCAAAGAGTTTGCAATGAAAGATTTGGGTGCGGCAAAACAAATCTTAGGGATGCAAATTAGCAGGGACACGAGGAACAAGAAACTGAAGCTATCGCAGGCCGAGTACATTGAAAAAGTACTCAAGAGATTCAACATGGCGTGTGCAAAGCCTGTAGGCACTTCATTAGCAAGCCACTTCAGATTGACGAAGGAACAAGGTGTAGCTACTTATGAAGAGCGAGAATACATGGTGAAGGTACCATATGCTTCAGTTGTTGGCAGCTTGATGTATGCCATGGTCGGCACGAGACCAGACATTGCCCATGCAGTGGGAGTTAGTAGATTCATGAGCAATCTTGGGAAAGAGCATTGGGAAGTTGTCAAGTGGGTATTCAGGTATCTCAGAGGTACGAGTGACATGGCTCTCTGGTATGGCGGCACAGAAATCACCTTACTTGGGCATGTTGATTTTGATCTAGCAGGGGACATTGATAGTAGGAAGAACACAATAGAGTGTATGTTTCCTCTTAGTAGTGCTGCAATAAATTGGGTCTCTCAGTTGCAGAAGATTGTAACCATCTCAACCACAAAAGTGGAGTATGTTGCAACTACAGAAGCTGGCAAAGAGATGGTATGGTTACAGAGTTTCTTAGATGAATTGGGAACGAAGTTCGATGATTGCAAGTTGTACAGTGATAGTCAAAGTGCAATACATCTTACGAATAATTCTGCGTTTCATTTAAGAACAATGCATATTGATATCAAGTATCATTTTGTTCGTTCACTCTTGGAAGATGGCAAGTTCGACTTGGAGAAGATCCACACAAGTGAAAATTCTGCAGATTTGTTAACCAAGGCGTTTACAGTTGAGAAGCTGAAGCTATGTGCAGCATCAGTTGGCATCGGCACGTGAGGTTGATGGTTCGAGTCATTGCGGTGTTCTATAGAGTTATGTGTGAAGACTGTTCTTGATCAGTCTCCAAGTGGGAGATGTTGGTGCAGCCTGAAACAAGACTAAACCTAATCAGATTGGGCAAAAGAAACAAGGAAATTAGTGTTTGGTTAGATTTGGACGCTAAACTATTTCCTTTTTGGTTGAGGTTTTTTCTTCTTAGTTTAGGTTTTGGTTTCCTTACTAATTTAGGATTGGGTTTAAGGCTAGCTCTATAAATACACCCATGTAGCTCTATGTTTTTAATTCATTCATTAGTTCTGTGATCTTAGAGAGAGATACACAATAGTGAGAGTGAGAGATAGATCATTGTAGAGAGAAAGTTTGTGAGATTGAGTGTGAGAGACTCTTGTAACTCCTTTCATATTGATCTTGGTAAATTCGCAGTGGCTTCGTGGACGTAGCCCGTGATTTGGTTTTCATGTAAATCTCTTGTGTTGCTTTGTGAGTTTGTTTTTTCTAGTTCTTTTACTTCTCCATTCTAGATTCATTGTGTAAGTGATTGCTTGCTCAGGTCCTGAAGTTTGGTATTAATCATATATACCATAACAAGAACCTTATCAATTTTGCATCCAAAGATGGAGGCAACAAATATTTAGAGAGAGAGAGAGAGCCACTCGATGCTTCTTGGTTTGTAGGATTTGACCAGATGCTGAAGTATGTCTTGATAGATTGATTGGTGTTATTTTCTATTTCTTTCCTGAAAAGTGAAAACTAGCTTCAAGATAAAGTCAAAACATGGAATTTCATGTGTCACTTGATTTTTATTTATTTATTTTTTAAATTTCATTATTTTATGTTAAGTGCTGTATCAGCAGAACTTAGAGTAGCATTCATATATTTTCAATATGGTGCAGGATCATGCTGGTCATATATTTGGTGTTAATTCCATTCCAATGACAGAAAAACTGGACCAATACAATGTTATTTTAGAGGCAAGTTTCTTGAACCTATGTTTACAAGATATCACACACTGTTTTTAATTTGCTAAATTTCTGGGAGGGAGAGAGAAGGAAAATGCTTGAACATGGGTTTCTTTTGTTTCTAAGCAATTTGAACAAGGACAGAGCATATGACAAGTGTATTATTTCTTTTGCAATTTGCTTCCAGTAATACTCCATTACTATTTGGTTTGTTGATGGCCTTGGCACATTGCTTATCCATTATAAAATTATCAAGTTTACAAAATTGGTTCTTGAATGATTTTATTTTCTGATCCTTTCCCTTAATAATTTGTCGTGTGACAATGTTTCAAATAAAAAAGAAAATATACGACAATCAGATATTGGGAAAATGGGGCCCAATCTTATTTTGAATTTTCTCCCCATGTTAGTTTTGCCATGTTAGTTGTATTGCTGCTCTTCTCCTCCACTAACAGCAGTGAATTGACTACTTCAGAACGTTGTTGAAATGCTGGAAAGCCAGTCTGGACCTGGTGGCTTACATGAGAATACTTTACTTCTTGTGATGGGTGATCATGGCCAAACCATAAATGGTGACCACGGTGGAGGAACTGCAGAAGAGGTATGGTATTATCTATGTTCCATTGCAATCTGAGTGTGATTATCAAATTAAATTTAAGCCAATTAGTATCACATCATGCAGGTTGAAACTGCAATTTTTGCGATGGGATTGAAGAAGCCTCCATCTTCCTTGCTGTTGGAACATGATACTTCATCTTGTCAACTAGATTTGGTATTACATTTCTATCATATTCTATACATGCCACTATCTACCACCAATACCACTATCATATGCCACTATCTTATTATATGCATTAACACAAATTTCCAGCAATTTCTTATCAATTGGTCACATAGCTACTGGTCGACAAGAACCAAAAGGAGAGGGTGAAACAAGTAAATCCCCCAACCCAGATGATGGTGGGACTTGATCCCAAGTCTGTGGTAATGCCACGAAGAGGCTTTACCAATTAAGCTAGTTGACACTTTCATTGAACTAAGAGATTTAGCCCTTCAGATAAACTCTAGCTGCATTCTTTGTTTTCAGTAGCTTTAAACTATTCTCTTAGTTTCCTTATCTGTGTCCAGAAAAGGGATTTGACTAATTTGAGGCTTCAAAGAATTGATGAAGCAATGTTTAAGTGCAGCATTGGAGTTGGACTCTTTGCCTCTCATTTTCATTAGGGGGATTGGATGAAGCATACCTGTGAAGTTCTATTTCCAAGCTGACTGCAACAACACTCCGAAATGAAATTCTGATCCTTGCATATATGAGAGTAAAATATCTTCTGTAAATCTTTTCTTACAGATTAGTTGCCCTGAACAACCCAGAACAGTAAGTAAAAATGTGGGAAACAACAGTTAACCTTGAGGGTCACAATTTGCTATGACAATATGACTGACAATATTGCAAATTTCTTGGAAAACCAACTAATCATGTATTTATATTCTTCCAAATTTCAACCATTGGATTTTAAGCATTATTGAACACATTCAAAAATTTGGGATAGAGTGCCAAGAAATCTAGAATAAATTACCCCAAAACAATTTTGGTTTTTAGCCATATAGACAATGATAAGAAATCACTGAATGGTCTTTCTTGTCTGATACCAAATTGCAATTCACAAGAATAGGATTAGGGGGAGAGAGCAATAGGGAAGAAGATGAAACACATGGACTATTGAAATATCGAGCAACTTTTGGAATGAAATGGGTTCAAGAAACGACAAATGAACTTATGCCTATTATGTGGGAGCTTCTATTTGCACACACACATTCCCCTCTTTACACATCTTTTTTAATAAATAATTGGTTCGGAAGTAGAATTCCGAAAATGAACAATTGGTTTGGAAGTAGCATTCCGAAAATAAACAACTTGTTCGGAAGTAGAGTTCTGAATTTTTTTCATTTTTTCGACATTCAACTTCCGAATGTGTTTATTTAATGTCCGTAATAGTAATTTCACTTGAAAATAAAATTATAATAAAAATAATTTTTATTAAGTGTGTGTAAAGAGGGGAATGGGGATGTGCAAATAGAAGCTCCCCTATTATGTCTCTAGTAATTGTTTAATTGGCAAAAATGCCCCATCAATGCTGGGTACTGCAATTTTTTCGAGAAGTGGGAGGCGAGGAGCGGGTAAGTTATGGGTGTACATGGGTCTAAGAGACGCATTCATGTCATATTTGGGTCCCATGTGTTATCCTCGTGAGGTGATTCAGTGTCACGACCCCATCCTACCCCAAACATGATAGTAGTTATGACCGACCAGTAGTGTCTGACTACCAAAAAGGCCTACCAAGACAAGACAAGTCTAGACTAAAAATATTGGGGCTTATGTGGAAAACATTTTGCCATTAATTACCAATAGTCCATTCAAAGTAAGTGCATAAATCACATGAAAACAAAGCAAACATATTTCTTCTTTATTATCTTTGACATTACAAGTCCAACATCCAAAAGAAAGGTACAATATTACAAACATTCACTTGAACAAAAACTTTTACACAAGACCATCATCTCTACGTCACCACTCCCAAAAGTATTAAAAAAAAAATAAAAAAAAACACAAAAGGAAAAGACTTCTAACTCGATTTGTCTTCTTGAACTTGATCTTCATCATTACCTACATACATATAGGGGAGAGAGGTGAGCCAAAGACCAGTGAATAGCAATATTAAAGTTGTAAATGAATGAACATCGATAACTTTTATTAAAACCAAGCACATAATCATTTTTAACATAGTATAACTTTGTGTTAAGTTAGATGAAGGGTAGTTTTGTCTTTATGTACTTATTCGATTAGTATAAATACATGTTATAGAGGGAAAACCTAATCTAAGGTTTTGGCCTCTTCCTAATAATAATTATCTCTTTTATTTTTCTCTTCTCTCCTCTCAATCTTAAACTTGTTCTTATAATTTTAATTTGGTATCAAAGTTGTGAAGAGGTAATCTTCTATTCTTCTTTTTTTTGGTTCGTTCTTCCTTTTTTTTCATTCAATAATGTTAATAATAATAAAAAAATATCTAGGATGCTCGCTTACGGCTCAAGATTTCCCAAAATTTTTTTCAAATTTTTCCTGATGGTTGTTGCCTATTTTTCAATTTTTTTTTTCTATTTTTCGAAAAAACCAACCCTATTTTTGTGATCTGCTTTTCTGTGAGTTTTTTGCTTGATTTGTGGCTTGGGTCCTCATCCCTAGGAGCCGATTGGACCTCCTTATGCTCTCCTTGGCTTCGGTTGTTGCTTTGGACTTGTTTTTTGGTCTTCCAGTCCAATTACAGGTGTTTTTTCCCTCCACTACACTGTTTTTGCCCTTTTCTAGGCTGTTTTGGCTCGTGGGACTGATTTTGTGGTTTGTTAGGGCTGTTCCACCTTCCTCTCTATTTTTTATTTTATTTTTTTTAATGTGTAGCTTGTTCTTATTTAATGGCTGATGATAACAAGTACCTTGTGACCAGTGAGGCTAAAGGGCCAGATCCTATTGTACCTGTGGGTCATAACTCTTCTCTCCATTTGACTTCTGTCAAGTTAGATGGCACCAACTATCTGGTTCGGTCACGTTCCTTTCAATTGGCCATTACTGCTCGTGGTATGTTGGGTTACATAACTGTAGTTACTAAGGTTCCTAGCAAGGATGGACTAGCACATGACAAATGGTATAAGGAGAATGCACTTGTTATGACTTGGCTAATTAATTCCATCCACCCCACCATTAGCCGGTCCTTTGTGTTGATGGATACTGCTCATGAGATCTAGACTGCCGCCTCTCAGATGTATTCTCAATGAGGTAATGATGCCCAAGCATACGAACTACGGAAAAAGATTCGGCGGTTTGATTAGAAGCATAGGTTTCTTGCTGAATATTATGCTAAGTTGAGCAGTTTGTGGCAAGAACTTGATTATTATTAGAACTTCTAAGCTGTCTATTCTTAAGATGCTGCTACCTTTCAGCAAATGGTGTCCAAGAAGCTGGTCTATGACTTTCTTGCTGATCTCAACTTGGAATATGATCAGATTCATGTTCAGGTTCTTGGTTGCCAGCCGTTTCATATTGTCCATGAGGCCTATGCTTATGTTTTGCAAGAAGAGAGCCGGTGGAGTGCTATGGTTCATCAGCCTCTTCAAGATCGGTCTGCTCTAGTTGTTTCTTCTACTTTGAAGGATGGGAAATTTGGACTTAGTATCCTCAAAACCAGAGGGGAATATCCATATAGACCTCTTCTTTTAGGTCTCCATGAAGGAAGGTATTCTTCACATCAAACTGATGAAGTGGCCAATTCAAATTTATTGCAAGAGAGAGTAGTATTCTCACAGAGTTCATCTTAGCAACCGGGGCAAATGTCGCCTGGTTATATACTCCATAAGTCTAAGTGAAGCCCTTAGCAACTGGTCTTCCTTTGTAATATTCGATGGAACCATCTGCATTGTGTTTGACAGTGTACACCCACTTACACCCAACTGGATGTTTGCCTCTAGGTAACTCCACTAACTCGCAAGTGTCATTCTTGCTTAGAGCTCTCATCTCCTTCATCATGGCATGTTTCCATTCAGGAATAGAGAGCATCCTGAAAATTGTTAGGCAGACTCACAGAAGAAATCTTAGATAGAAAGGCTTTATATGAGAGAGACATATTAGAATAAGAGACATAATTCGTAATAGGATGTTGAGTACATGACCTAACCCTCTTCCTATTAGCAACGGAACATCAAGATTTGAAAACTTAGGAATAGGAGCACTAGGATTAGAATTACCTGGACTCTCAAGAGAGGGGGGTGACTTTGGACACTCATCTGAGGAAGAAGTTGGCAGTAGAGGAGCGAAAGTAGTCTCTTGCATCCAGGTGACTTTCTGGCTGTCATTGTCCCTGACATACACTTTGCTTGCTTCAACAATTGCTGGCTCATCATCTTCTATCTGTTCAAACACTGGCGGAATTGGAACAGGAATCTCTTCACACCAAGGCTCCCCCTGAAGGGATGATTGGGACACTGGAGAAGGTAGAAAGTAAGATTGAGACTCGAAAAAGGTAACATCCATGGAAACAAACCATTTGCGAGTGGGAGAATGATAACGATTATAACCCTTTTGTGTGGCAGAGTAACCCAGGAAAATACACTTAAGAGACCAAGGATCCAATTTACCACGAGTGGGTGAATGATTATGGACAAAACAAACACATCCAAAGGTCTTAGGGGAAATAGAGAACCCATAAGAGGTGGACCCGAATAGAGCTTGAAGAGGTGTTTGTTTTTGAAGGACTTGGGTAGGAAGACGATTAATCAAATAAGCTGCAGTGAGAACCGCTTCCCCCTAGTAGGAGCTAGGAACACGCATTTCAAAGGATAGATAATGGACTACATCAAGGAGAGAACGATTTTTCCTGTCGGCAATACCATTTTGTTGAGGGGTATTAGTGCAAGAAGTTTGATGAATAATGTCATGAGTGGCGAAATAATTGGCAAGACCGGAGTCAAGATATTCCCCTCCCTCCCCTCCCCCGGTTATCAGAATGCAAAATTTTGACCACCGCCCCAAACTAAGTGCAAATCGTTTTATGAAAGGTTTGAAATACAGAAAGCACCTCACTTTTATCTTTCATCAGATAGACCCAAGTGGCCTTAGAACAATCATTTATGAAAGTAACAAACCATTTTAGACCTTTTAAAGACAAAATGTGAGGGACCCCAGACATCAGAATGAATCAAAGTAAATGGAATTGAACTTTT